CTGCACAGCGCCTTCCTGTCAGCTCCTTCCCTTCCAGCTGAAATCTGATCCCTCCCTTCCCAAAACTCCAAATTTAGAAGCCAGATTGAAACTGAAATTCTTTTCCTGCCTGCCCTGGGTTCTTAAAGGCACCAGGGCTGCATTTCCCAACATGCAGAAGCCCTACAAGTTGAGGCCCCTTGCCCACAATGCCCAGGGAAATCTTGGCATGAGTACCCCAGTTCCATCCCCAACTTCTTGGTTCTTTGTTTAAAACACCAGTCCATAGTGATTCCCAGGTCTCCCCCCCTCCCCAACCAAAGAGCTCCACCAGGCCTCTGGGTCCCCAAGCAAGGCTACTCATCCCACTCACCCACCGACTAGAGAGACCAGGGAGTGAAGGGGTGGATGCTCTGAAGAACTAACACAAGGTGTGCTGTAAGCAGCAACTGCACAGGCCTCGCCCAGCCAGCGGGCAAATGTGGGTCCTGGCCACAGTCAGCTCAGCTCCTAGGCACGTCCCCCCAGCGTCCACTGTTTGACACCACGCCCAACAGCCTAGACCCAAAGTGAAAAGCAGGCCTTGCAGAGAAGATGAACAGCCAGAGAAACTCTTTACCTGCCCCCCCGCCCATTCCTTCCTCTCCCACAATTAAATGGAGGGAGTTCAATGTGCTTTTAGTGACACCTAGTGGCGCTGTAGGATTTCCTCTAGTTTAGGAACTGGGTCCCAGATTTTGGGCAAGCTTTTGGAATTTTATACCAGCTTTACCAACCAAACAAACAAAAAATAACAACTTTCCACATGGATTTAATCCACAAGATCCTTAAGCTAGCCTGACTTGCCTCTTAGTTAGAAATTATTGACAGGGAACCAGGGGCCTGGCCAGCCACCAGGGGGAGCCAGAAAAGCTGGCCTTTTAGCCCCAGCCAGAGCTCAGTGTAGACTATGTACCCTTTCTTCCCGCCCCCTCCTCCAGCTCATCCTGGGGTCTCCCAGGGCTCTGCAGACCCTTGCATCCCACACCAAAGAGAGCAGCACGTGACTGGCCTTCAAGGTAGCAAGCAGGGCTGTCCTCGAGTCCTTCCGACCTTGGGCCTGCTACACTGCTGAAGGCAGCAGATCTCTGAGAATGAAGCAGTGGCTGCCCAGCCGTCAGTCCCAGCTCCATTTGCTGACTTGGAAAAAAATGTGTCATTCCCCTCTGGCCTCTGGAGTTTGGCAGAAGCCTGAACTGAATGCTGACCAGGAAGAGCTTAGAGCCAAGGCTGCTTAACCAGGCTCCTTTGCCCCTTTAGGGGCTTAGGATGGACTGCCAAGAGAGCGGCCCCATGGGCATCACCCACAGGTATACCAGGGGTATCACTGAGGCAGCAAACACGCATATGGGCAACATGAAGGGGAAGGAGGGAAGTTGGCAGGGGGAGGAAGGTACGGGGCAGGGAGAAGGAAAAGTCCTGACACCTTCTAAAAGAGAGGCCTGAAAGCAGTGGGTCCCCAGCTTTCCTGGGCAGGCATCTGGAAAGTATGTTTACATACAGGCTCCTGGCTCTTGACTCCTAAGATTCTGATTCTATAAGCTGGAGTAGGGCCCGGGAATGTGCATTTTAACAAATGACTCCCTGGGCAATCTTGAAGAAGCTGTCCAAGGCCCACTTAGAGGAATCCTGCCTTGGTAAGACAAGCCCTTCCAGCTACAGAGCCCTGCCAGGAGGGCTGGCAATCCAGTGACTGCCACCACAGGCCTGCTTGTTTTTACCTCTAGCACTTTGCTCAGATCCATATCCTCAGGCACTGAGAGATGTATCCCTCCACCAGAAAAGCTATCTACTCCAGATGATAGCTCCATCTCCTCCAGCAGTTTTGGGCCTATTGACCCTTCTTCACGATACTGCCCATCATTTCAGCCCTGCTGCATCGGTCCCCATGTCTAGCTGGTGACTGAGTCTTAGTCCTTCGGGTCCAGGATCATGTGGTGCTCAGTAGAAACCTCAGGTTTGGCAGGAGAGATCCTGGACAGTCAGAAGCTGGCTGGACACTGCAGGAGAGGCCCCATGGGCTTCCTTTTTCAGTACTGGCTCTGGTACCAGGCCTGTCATCTCCAAGCAGCATCTCTGGCTCCTCTGTCCAACTCTAAAGCCACCAGCTTTGGTTTGTCTGGGCCTGGAGGTGGCATGGCTTTTCCCTTACCCATTCCCTCACCTCAGTGATGAACAGGATACACTCCAGGAACATGTAGTCCTCATGGTTCTCATTCACCGCCTTCTCATCCACAAAGTGCCTGGGCTCCAGGTATGGATGGTCTGAGAAGAGCAAAGAGCCCTGGGCTTCAGACCCAGGCCCCTACACTGCCTGGGCACCCCAGCCCAGCACATTCAACCCCACCCATGGGCCACAGTTTTACCCACAGTGCCCTCAACATTTGACCTTGCAAAGGCAGTAAATGGCATGTGTATAAATCAGATATGCTCAGCACCAGATCAGACTCTCTTGAGCTGGTGAGCCTGGATGAATGATTTCAGCCTGCCATGGCTCGGTTTGCTTGTGTGGGCAGTGGGGATAAGACCAGCACCTCCACCTGGATTGTTGAGGCCCACATGACAATCACCATGCCTACAGCACTCAGCATGGTGCCTGGCACAGGTGTTACTGGTGTCTGGCCTTAGGCTGGCAAAGACCCTTCACAGGCCCACTGAGAAGAGGCGGGGGGCAATGTCCCTGGGGCATGCAAAGCAGTGCCTGGCACAGAGCAAGTCCTCAATAAATGGTCATTTATGAATATTATTTTGTAGGCAGTTCATCCTGAATCAAAATAGAGATGGCCACCCCATCCACAGCTTAGAAAACAGTTTCAAGAGTTGGAGGGAGTCACCAGAGCAGGCCCACCTCCTCCTAGCTCTCAACAGCAGCAATCTGACAGGCCCCCCTGCACAAAGATTGGTAATAACAGTGGGTGATGCTGGTAACTGAATCAAAAGAGCCCCTCATTTTCAACATAAAACCCTGCAGCTGCTGCCAGGAGCTGGGGCACATCTCACACCAGTCCATTATGCACCAGGCGAGCGCCCTTGCTCCAGCCTATGTCACTTCCCATTATCTTGGCAGCGCACTGCCTCCGCCTCCCCCAGCCTGCCACACAGCTCTCCAGCAGAAGGTCACCAGCAAACAGCCTCCATCAATAGCCAGTCTAATGCCCTGCTTTCCAAGCTGTCACTGTCTGCCCTGGACAGGAGGAAAGGAAAAAGGAAAAGCAAGAGGAGCTGGGGGAGGGACACAATGCAGCCTGCAGGTGCCCTCCCCCTCAATACCTATCAGCTGCGAGCTGCCCCAGATGAAGGGTAGAAACTGGAAGTCATCCAAGCCCCACACTCCCTGGCTGCCAGCCGGCTCCATCCTGTATGTTTTCTGCAGTTTCCGCATAACCTCAAGGTACCTGCATGAGAGAATGGGGAAAGAAAGGAAAGGCCGCAGAAAGTAAAAACACAGTCTTAAACCTTCTTGTCATTTAAGTACCAGGAGGCCAGAAACAGCCATAGATTGTAATGGTCCAGATTTCAGTTGAAACCTCCATGCCTAAGTTACAGCTGGTACTCTCCAACTAATGTAGCTTTATTCCCTGCTCCCCTACACATGGCCTTCTTCTGACCCAGGAAAGGAACAAACACTGACTTGGAACCTGGGGTTTAGTGCCATCTACTCCTGATAAGAAGTAAGGCCTTCTATGAATGGCAAAACATAACAATAGTCCAGAAAGTAGAAGGGAAGAGGAAAGAGAGGGGAGGAGAGGGGAGGGGGATGAGGGAGAGTATTTGGGGGGACCTCACCTAATGTGCACAATGCAATGGTACATTTCAAAACTATTAAGAGGCTCGGCGCCTATAGCTCAACCGGCTAAGGCGCCAGCCACGTACACCTAAGGTGGCGGGTTCGAATCCCCAGCCTGGACCCGCCAAAACAACAATGACGGCTGCAACCAAAAAATAGCCGGGCATTGTGGCGGGCGCCTGTGGTCCCAGCTACTTGGGAGGCAGAGGCAGGGGGCCTCGCTTGAGCCCAGGAGTTGGAGGTTGCTGTGAGCTGTAATGCCACGGCACTCTACCCTGGGGGACAGCTTGAGGCTCTGTCTCAAAAAAAAAAAGAAAAAAAAAAACTATTAAGAAATGAGTATAATTGTGATAGATGTGTTACTTGGTTCAATGTAAACATATCACATCGTATATCGAAGCAGTACCCTGAACTCCATAAATGCATCAATGTACAAAGTTATGATTTAATAAAAAAAAATTAATTTTTTTTAAAAAAGTAAGGCCTTGGGCAGGAGCCTTAACTTCTCCAAGCCCAGCTTGTCAATTTTTGAGTTGACTGGAGTCCAAGCAAATTCTTTCTGGTTATAACTTTCGACTTTATCCGAGCCTGTGCATCAGTCACTGTGGAGCTTTAGACATACCATTCCTGGGCTCTGCCACAGGCCTGCTGCATTGGCATCACCAGAGAGAGGCCTGAGAACGGGCATTCTGAGAGCTCTTCAGGTGACTCTGATACACACTTGTACTGCCCCACGTCAGAGCCTGATGGCATGCATTCAGCTATGTGACCTCACTATAAAGACCTGACTTCTCTGTACCTCAGTTTCCTCATCTATAACATGGAAATAACAGTTGCTACTTCTTGGGGTTGTTCTAAGAATTAAATGAATTCTATATAAAGCACTTAGAATGGCACCTCAACACAGTAAAACACCAGGTAAGCACTAGCAGTCAGTACATGACACTTCTTTTGCTTGTTTTTACTTGGTGGTGAATTTGAACCTGTCAGACAAAGGAGTCTTGGACCCTCCAAGCACAGCCAGAGCTTGACTAGGACAGGACAAAAGATCTGTGAGCCACTCTGGAGAACCCTCCAGCACCCCATCCCCAGTCTGAGGAGGAAAGAGATCCCCTCACTCCCATCCTCCTGCCCTCTTCTCCCTCACCGATTGAACACTTTGAAGACAATAGCTATTTGGTCGTCCACCCGGAGCACCCCAATCTTGCAGAGACAGCAGAGGAAAGCGGCAAAGGCAGCCTCATGCCCTGCAGGAGAAAAGAAGAGTCAAGGTTGATTGTCTTCAGGAAAAAACAGACTAGGACTGTTTTTGGTCTTCTGGATCCAAATCACTGCTAAGTGCTCCTCTGAGGAAGGGCTTAACACAGAAATAACAGGCCTCTTCCCAGTCCAGAAAGACCTACTAGGCCCTTTCAAGAACTACTAGCACTATTATTCTACTCCTAAAAGGCCCAGGCTGTTGACTTCTGAAACAGACATTCACATTGTAGGTTTAACTCACCCAACAATTCCACCCTATTTAGTGAGCACCTATTATGTGGGCAGTGACTATCCATGTCAGAGACCAGGGAGATACTGACAAATTAGTCCCTGTCCTCTAAGAGTTCACAACATATCAGGGGCAAGAAATTAAATATGTAATGTTTACTATGATTCCAGCTCTGAAGGACGACAAAGTAATAACCGGAAGATATTACAGAGGGACCTTGACATAAGGATTTAAAGTTTCCCCTAAGGAATTAACATTTAATCTGAAATTGGAAAGATGAATGATAAATGAGAATTGTTGAGGCGAGGGGGTGAGGGAAACAAGAAATGCCTTCTAGCCAGAAGAGAGCACATGTGCAAAGGCCCTGAAGCAAGAAAAGCCTTCATCTGTTGGAAGAACGCTGAGGGCCAGCATGTCTAAGGTAGCAAGAGCAGGGAGAAAGTGCAATGAGATGAGACCGCAGGTCAGACAGGCCACATTAAAGTGCTCCAGGGACTTAAGGAAACTTGGAGCCTTCCTGGTCCTTAAGTGAGACCTTTTCACAGAATCTAAATTTTACATAAAAAATCCTTTCGCACCGAGCACAGTGGCTCATGCCTGTAATTCTAACACTCTGGGAGGCCAAGGTGGGTGGATTTCCTGAGCTCATAGGTTCGAGACCAGCCTAAGCAAGAGCAAGACCTCATCTCTAAAAGTATCTGGGTGTTGTAGTGGGTACCTGTAGTCCCAGCTACTTGGGAGGCTGAGGCAAGAGCATCACTTAAGCCCAAGAGTTTGAGGTTTCTGTGAGCCACGGCACTCTACTGAGAATGACAAAGTGAGACACTGTCTCAAAAAAAAAACAAAAAACTTTTCATTAAATGGGGAGAAACAGAAAAACGAAGTTTTTCTTGCCTCTGTTGATGCTTATAAAAGAATAATCTTGAAATCAAGAGGCCACAGGTTTCCCCACCCCTGGCTCAGACTTTATCTTAGGACCAATAAGAAGCCAGCCACTACGGGCTAATAAGCAGGGTACATGGTCAGACTGCAAGGTCAAAGGTACCCTTAACCTCCTCCTAGTCATGTCATATAGGAACAATCAGAACCGTAGCACCCACTTCACCAAACTTCGGACTGAATCCCATGGTTAAGAGTGTCACAGAAAACATATTTAGAAGGAAGTGAGGAGAGAATATTTCAGCAACTTCCTGTCCTGTTTCTGTAGAATGAAGATCCCCTTCAGACCATAGACAGCTTGAGAGCTCAGTTTCCTTCACCAGCATCGGTTTCCAAATATAATATGACCAGGCTCGGCGCCTATGGCTCAACTGGCTAAGGCGCCAGCCATGTACACCTAAGGTGGCGGGTTCGAATCCCCAGCCCGGCTCCGCCAAAACAACAATGACGGCGGCAACCAAGAAATAGCCGGGCGTTGTGGCGGGCGCCTGT